TTATTACAATTATAATGTTATTATACTGAGTTTTAGTCTTAATTATTACTAGTGTTTCTACTACTACTACTACTACTGCTGCTGCTACTACTACTACTACTACTACTACTACTCCTGCTGCTGCTGTTGCTACTACTACTTCTACTACTACTACTACTTCTACTACTACTACTACTACTGCTACTTCTGCTACTACTGCTACTACTGCTACTACTACTGCTACTGCTACTGCTAATGCTACTAACTACTACTACCTACTACTACTGCTACTACTGCTACTGCTACTACTACTACCACCACCGCCGCCACCGCCACCACCACCACCACCACCACTCCTGCTTCTGCGACTGCTGCCGCTACTGCTGCTGCTACTGCTCCTCCTCGCTCCTGCTCCTGCTCCTGCTCCTGCTCCGGCTCCTGCTGCTGCTGCTGCTACGAATGCCACGACGACGGCTGACATTACGAATCCTACAAAGTTCATTAGGCTGGGTTTTTGTTCGGTCCCCGTAGGGCTTGTTGGGGTACTGTCGGAAAGGCTTTTTCCCTGCACTGGGTAAGCCTAGCGAGCTATGACTACTACGACGACGACCGGCCGCTGGCGCGATGCCAGACCTAAGCTCCAAAAACACTGTCGTTGCTCCCCCCTCCAAACCCCCGCCCAGCGTCCGCGCATACCCATCCATACTCCATCCATGAAGCCTCGTGCCTCATCAAGATTGAGGCCCGAAGACGGGCACCAAATGTGCCGGGCATCAAAGGTTCAGGCTCCAACTACAAAATGTTGGTGTAGAAATAACGCACAAATAACATCATCAGAACCATGGTGATGATGTTCGTGAGGAACAAAGCCACATTAGGAAGCACAATTGCAGCACAAGCTTGTTTCATAAACGGTTTCAAGAAAGATAGTTGTGAGCATGTTGACGATGGCTTAGTCGAGAGTGTGCCTTTTCACTTGTTGAGCTTCTTCCGGACTGCTGCGTCGACCCAGGTAGGCGAAAGCTTCCAGCTCTCGAGGCAGGGTGCAGCTTTGTATCGTCCGGTTGGTTCTCGGCTCTTGAATCTGAAGATGTCAGCGACGTCGGGTGGATTTGGTAATACTCTGCTCGGAGCAATATTTGATAAAGCTTTTGCGACATCGCACTTCAGATTTGCACACTTGAGCACGCGTTCGCCAGTGTGCCAGGGAGTCGTTGCTACCCGCTTCTGCAAGCAACTTGGTGCAGATAATTTGGAGAGTCTGTCGGATATGGTGCATTACAGACGGCAATGAGCGCTGCACGACACTCGTCCTTTGCAGCAGCCATGGCCCATGGCCGTCGTGTTAGTTGTTAAGCTGTAGACATGGTTCGAGAGATGCTGAGAGCTTGCTATGGAGCATGTTTGCCCTGAGGCAAGTCTTTCCACCCGGAGCTGCTGTCAACCCTTCGAATTTTGGAGAGAGAGACGAGCTCAGATGGCCCGTCTTCAGAGGAGCGGGAGGCAAGAGCAGAGCAAAAGGGAGGCAAGGGCCCCAAGCTGGCAGCATGCGGCTGCACCGCTGGACTGTGGCGATACATAGCGGAGCAGCTCAACTTGAGCCGCTGCTCAGCTTGATCTGGTTTCCTTGTTGCCATGGTGTGGTGGTCTTCTGCCCTCCTGAAAGGTTGTTGCAACCTGCGCAGCTTGCTTGGCTACAGCGCGCAGGGTGAAGCCGCGCCAACCAGAACCGCCCTGGTCTCAGAACGTCTCAGAATCGTTGGTGATTCCTTCTGCCGAGAAGGAACTCATTTCCATCAAGCCCGACTTACCGGGTAGTGACTGCGTAGTGCATCCAAGCATATGACTGCCAGTGGGCAAAATCTCCCCTAACAGGCCCTGAGTTTTGTGGAAGCACAGGTCTGAATTCCATAGTCGAGGCATGTGCAGAGGCACAATCACGGAAGTGCGAATGGAGCTCCGGCTCAGTCCTTTCGACTCACTTTCCCACCCAAATCCCACCCTGTAATCTGAACACATGCACTGACGGGGATGTGAGATGTTTGATGCAGCACCAGACTGCACGAGCTCCGTGAGGGGCTATGCTTGATCGGCTGGACGGCTCCAGTAATCAATGTGGATCAAGTGTTTCCTTTGCCGTGTTGCTCTGCGAAATTCCCAACGATGCAAGAAGCAGGGCAGTGCAAAAGCTGCTGATTCGGGGATCTGAAGCAGGAGAGAGAGAGTTGTCGTGAGATCTCCGCAAGAAGCAACAGCAGCAGCCGCAGAAACATTCACATCTCCGAGGATGCTGGCTGCGGCAGATCCGCACACTCTTGCTTGGAGTCGGCGTGCGGCTCTTAGACTAGAGCAGTGGCCCGCCCGAGAAGCCTTCGAGCAGTTGAAAACACCGTGATGCAGTGTAACAGCTGTGCTTCGGGACCATAGTCCAGCAGGCTGTTTGGAGCACATTGGGTTGTTGAGCCACTTCAACTCTTCCGTCTTCCGCTCTTGTAGACGCCGGTACAGAACCGACGGCCGCTGGAATTGCATGACAGAAAACAAGTAAACCCAAGCGATGTACAAACACACGACAGCATTTGTACTGCCTGAAATCAGTATGCAGTGTTGCGGCATTCAGGAGCTTGTAGAAGGCCGTTGCGGTCGTTCGATTGCGATTATGCCGCCTTGCTTGTTTCCAATGCGGCTACTGTACTGCACTCCGTAAAAGGCTAGCCGGGTCGAAGGCTTGATCCAAGACGGCCTTCAGGGTTCAGAGAGGTGTCGTGACCGGCGAAGTAAGCCAGTCGCACTGGTCCGTCTGGTTGAAACGTGTGCGCTTCGAAGCTTTTGCTTCGCAAGGTTGAGGCCGGTGCTGAAGTGCAACTTAGTTGTGCGCACAACATGTTGGGTCTTGCGGAGTTGTACGGAGAAAAACGTTGAGTTCGTGGTCTCTGCTGTTGGATCGTGCATTTTGGGGTGGTGGCAGGGTGGGCAGGAGCTGTGCTTGGAACATCGGTGGTGGCGGCGGCAGATACTTCCTTTTTGCCTGTGCATGTTGCCCTGCGATTAGCATCACAATGGTCGCCACTGCGACAAAACATAGCGCATGCTTCCCTATAGCCGGCTATGGGACATTGGATCTCAGACATGCTTGAGTATGCTTCAGTCATCTTCAGCCCTGGTGTGTCTTGGTCTTAAATGTCTCCCGGCACTTGCTGACTTTGGGTAATTACGCATGCCAGTTAATCGGTTGGTTCACGTGCTGAGGCTGGTACCCGCCAGGTGCCCGTGGCATCTGCACTACCCGCAACATGAATCAGACCAGAGCATGTCAGCTGCTTGGCGTTGTGATGTCGCTTGTTTCGGCTCCAATCCACTTTGGTCCGGCTGGGCCACAGCAAGAAGGGTAAATGGTAGTAGTCGGCCTGCGGAATTAATTTGGATAACTCGTACTTGGCAGCGGGTGCAGTGATGGTTTGCTAGCTGTCCCAGGCTGTCCGATCACTGCATTCGGCCGAGTCATGATTGCAGCGGGGTGTGTTACATTCGTCATTGCTGACGATGCACTAACGTGCATATTGTGTACATATGCATGCGTCTTCGTTATTGTCTTCTGGAAGCCTTGAGGGCAGGATACTTGCCCCTATCAGCTTCGACGAAGTAGAAGACGGCGACCACTGCGGCGCAAGGAGCCATGAAGCGAAATCTCCCTGAGATCTGGGCCATGCCCAGCATTTTGTTCCTCAGTTTGCGTCGATTTACGGTGCCTACCCCTGGCTGTAAGGCATCATGCACACGCTGTCTTAAAATCCCACTGTAACTCAGCAAAGATCGATGTGCATGTTGCCTGACATGCCAGTCGGTTCGAGGATGATTCGGGTAACTACTTATGTTCCGTCCAGAAGGACAAATGTTCCTGAAATGCTGTTGACTCGTGCGAGACAGTGCCGCACCTTCGTGTCAATTTGCAAATATGTGTTCGTGATCCGAGTGGAGTAGGCAGCTGCGAAGCCAAAGCGGCAGTGGAATATCTCTGAAACTTCACTTCGCATGATGTGTCATCCATTGAAACTCCACTATGGGCCCAAGCTTCGGCTGAATGCGGCTTGTGATCTCGTCGCAGATGCCTGAGGAGGTGAGAGGCCATTGCTCTTTTGGGTGGAAATGGGCCGCCGCGTGGGGGGTTGCCGCGGCCTTCCTGGCGATTGCCACTCCGCAACTGTCCCAGATGGATCCATGGTCCGTTCTTCCACAGGCTGTGAGGCGAAGCTGGGCACCCATCCACATTGTGGAAGCTCACGGAGATGTTCTCCGCCACTGGCCCTGCACTGCCCCTGGACACCCCAAGGGATCTTGGTCCGAGCCCGTGCCCTGACACAAGTAGCATCTGAGCAGTGAAGCAGCAGAAAGAGGCACCTGCGTTAGCGAGGGGTTCGCGACGAGGAGGACGACGACGACGGTCGCACCATCGGCAGTAGCGACGCCGATTACAACGAGTAATGTAGTTGCGGTCATGCTGATAGCTTTAGCGTTGACGGAGTGGTAGTGCCCTGGTAGTGACATGTACTGTAGTGATCAGATCAGTTGAGGGGAGCCCCCTTACCAGGTAACTCTTGTCCACATCGACTCTCACAGCGACATGGCGCCTTTGGAGACAGACATATGGGCTGAATTCCTCGAGGATATTGAGGACTGCACCTCGACGCCAGCTATCCTAATATAGACAGTGTAGAGCCTTCACTGTTCGGAGGGCATCTACTGTTTCAGACGATGCGTGACCTCTGATCGCCTTAATATTCTCAGTTTCTAGTTGCGACTGCCTTCAGCGGTCCGTCAATCAAGCATGCCAGGCGATGCGCATTGCGCCAAAGTGCATCGCAAGCAGTGGCAGAAGTCCGCAGTGGACAAGGCACGCCTCGTAGCGAAGATGGAGAAAACCGACATAGGAAATCACCAGGCTATGCCCGAAAGGCACATGGGAAACGCAGTCTTGCGACGTGGCAGTCTCTGCAGGTTTTCGTGTCCGACTTCATTACGGCGGCTCTATGGATGGGCTTCTTGGACGAGGTGGTTTGGATCCGGTCAGATTTGCCGGGGGTGGGCAGGTACAATGGCCCACCACCTGGACGATACAAGGTCTGAGTCTTACCTTCAACAAGACTGCCACGACTCTTTCGATTCCAGCTTGGGATTCTTCCTTGAGCAGGCGCAGGTGGAGTGGAATCTTTGGACCGCCGAGGGAGAACCTCTACTGCATTTTGCTTTGTGCACTGGGGTTGCTGGATACTTCTAGCAGTGCTTTAAAGCAAAGCTTCTTCTGCTACTGCTACTTCAACAACATTCAACAACCACAACGGCAAGTCACGATGAAGAAGTGCTTCTGTGTTCGGTGAGGAAGTCGTCTTCGAGGAGCTCTGCCTACGCCAGTTAGAAGTTCTGGAGGTCTTCCCGCTGACCGAGTTGACAGGGATCATGGTGCATGAGGCACCCCTCTCGCAGTTTCATCCAGTCTGTACGGTTTAGCGATGTTGAGCAGGGTTCGACTGCACCGACTTGATTGGCCACAGGACTGCCACAACTGCGCATGTCTTCGGGCTAATTGGTTAGTGAAGCGCTGAGGGGAGCCATTCCAAAGGGATGTGGTTTAACATCGTTATCGTTTAATTCATCCTTCTGAAGGTGTTTGTTCCCGTCCCCCGACATTGGAGCCTAGTCTGTGGATGTCCGTGGTGCTCGTGCAAGTTGTGTGATACAGAACTGGTGCCAGAGGCTAGGTAAAACGAGAGCATATCATGTGCTTCAGGGACACATGCGCGCAAGGAGAGAGGGTTTTTCGTGGAGAGTCTGCAAGCTCTGTCCCAGACTTTCATTTTGATAACTCGTCCGGGTGGCACTTGGGGCACGACCCCTTCAGACACTCCGTCAGAAAGGCGCAGGACTAGCGACCAGCTGTAAAGCAACTTGCTGTCAGGCTCTCGATTCCTGTACGGAGGTGGAGGAGGGAGCCGCCGAGAGGGAGTATCTTGGCCTTTTGTAGCGAAAGCTGCGCAGTCTGTGTGCTTTGGGGACCTGCAGCATTCAGTTGAGGTTGCTCCTCCACCGAAACTTTACCTTGACGGTCGGGACGCTCTTTCAGGCACGTGGCCGTCGAAGAAGGTTGCCCGCTTCTGACAGAGACCCGAAGCTTTCGACCTTGCCCTGGCAGGTCCTCAAGAGGCTGGAGGAAGGTGTATGGACAGCAAGTTCGTTGCTGCATCAGGGCGACGAATCGCGATCCTGGATTCTGGACCTGGATTTGGACACCTTCTCTACCTACGACCCTGCTTTGAGATTGATGCAAGAAGCAAACTTTAGCCAAAGCTTCGTGGAGAAGGCCGCGCAGCTCTTGAACACTAATCGGGCCTGCTCCCAGTCCCACGGAGAGATGCACCTTGGCCACCTTGGCCTTGGCGAGATTCGTTTGGTCTTTGGAGTTGTTTAGGTCAGCAGCTTCCGAGGGTCCCAAAATTTTAACGTTGGCCTATGGCACTATGGCATGCTACTGTACGAGTGCGATCCTGGCTGCTACATTGACAGCTTCCGTCACACTTGGCATCGCAAGGTTGATCGGATGTGGGTGTCTCTCTTCACGTGTGACGGAGGTAGAGGCCCACTTCACATGCGGTTCATGTTGCATCGAGCCGTGAAAACCAATGCCACCAAATGTAGTGCCCAGTAACAGATGTTTTACGTCGCCATCAACTGTATTTTGCTGCTTTTTTTGTGCGATTCTACGGAGGACTACCGCGCAGCCTTGCTCCAAAATCTCAGCCAGCTCCCTGCTACTTTGCGCTCCTTGGCATCCGAGTGGGGGCTGCTTAGTTTGGACCTTCGGGTTTATCAGGCAACAAGCCGCTATCATCAGCATGCCGTGCCATGCTTCCTCGAAAGACCGTTCGAAGTTTGAAGAGCATACTCACACGTCGCATTCCATGTCAGCGATTGGGCAGGGGCTGCTCCTGGCCATCAGCGGCGGCAGTTGCTTCTCGAAGGCTGAATGAACATCCAAATCGTCGAGCCGTGTCGTATGTGCCATACTCTACTGCAGCATAGCAGTCTGGTCCGACCCTCTGCTCTTCCGTATCGTGGGGGGAGATGCATGTGCATCCTGTCGCTCCACAGGACTCGCTGACTGTGAGGTTGGCACGGGCGCCTGGGAGATGCTTGCGAACCTCTCAACCGAGGCGGGAACTTAGACTGACTGAAGTACTTTGCGTCTCTTTACTGCGCACTGGCTGCAAATTGCTGCTGCCGCTCTCCTGCCTTCCTGCGAACAGCTTGGTGATCGGGCACAGACGTAACAAGCCTTCGGAATTGTCATCCTGCTGGGAGGAGGGCGAGCGCTGGCGCTGGGTATTTGAGACAGCTCTGCAGGCACGGCTGCGAGTTGTAAGTCTATCACAGAACCCTAACCTTAGCCCTTTATCACAGAGGTAGTGGATTTCCTAGCAGCGCATGGTTGCGGTAGCCGCAAAGCAAGTGCAGCTAAAAGGAGGCTCAATTGGTAAAGCGACCTCAACCCTCTCATGAGTCGCAGATGACATATGCAGCTCCTAGGAGGGATTCGACGATGACCTAGCCAAATCGATGCTGGAGGGTGCGATGGGTGTGGCTTCGGCGTGCATTACACATTACACACACACACACAAAGATGTACCTGACTGTCATGGCTTGGCTTCTTTGCAGAAGCATGCTTGCAAATGCAATCCTGACGGGACTGTCTCAGATTCGTTCAATGCCGCAACAGAAGTCCGACAACACGACAGCATGTAACGCTTTTTGCCTGCCTACCGTGGCTTAATACAGGGTGAGAAGCAGTGGTTCTTGAATTTTGCATCACTTCCGTTGCTGTCTCAGTTGCCTCGAAAGGGATCGACATTCTCGTTGTCCTTTCGTGCGCTTCCTCGTTTGCCATCCACCTCCAGGTGCCTGACAAGTGGGTTGCATCATTAAGTGCCGAAGCCCCTTTAGCTCCACTTTTGAAAGCCCAGAAGTGATCTGGCGGCGTTAAGGTGCACCACGTCAGCCGCTGCTTAGTGGCAAGAATGCAAGGGCAGAGATCGATTTGCAAGACTCGGCGAAGCGAGGATCGGAAGCTGTCCGACACCTGGAAGCCTTCCACGGCATCCTGGGGTATTTCGAGCAAGTGCCACCTGAGGCAAGGTCGTGCCCAAGACCGAACATGACGGTGACAGTTTAATTCGGTTCGATCCATGAATGGGGCTGGATGTTGCAGGCTCTGCTGCCAGGACTCGTAAGAGCAGAAATGCTGGTGGACAAAGTTGCACAGAGCATTTTCCTGCCAGCTTCTACTAAAACATGTAGCGCAGGATCGCTGGTACAATGGCCGGCAAAAGAAGATAAGCGGCATGCCATGCCGGATCCTGCTACGAAAGTGTTTTGAGAGTGCTACCAACTGTATTGCAACATCAGCCCCATGTTCATTGCGGCAATAGGTCGTTCCGTGGCCCTCCTGTGCACTTGTG